TATGCAACAACCACTTAGTTTACACCCAGCCTTCAATCCCTCACTTCGAAATGAAGTAATTCTTAAGTGTAAACGGATTAATTTCGATCCACTTTAATCCTCTTTTCTTAGCGAGTAAGATCAATCCAGTGTAAACGCTCCCTAAATCCACTTCATTTTGAAGTGAACCGGGATTGGACGGCTAAGTGTAAACTAAGTCAATGAGAGAGAAAGAGACGCTGTATTTTGTGAAGAGTCGGGTGACGTCACAGGGTGACGATTTATTTATAAAACTGTCGACGAAGTTGCGCACGGATTCGTACTTTGAGCTTGCTCATGCACTCTGCACGGAATTTCCGACGACCTGTTTCAATCGTCTTACCGTCACATTTATCTTCACGAGAAGCACGTAAGAATCTTAATAAATCCACCAATAATTGCTAACAAGTGAAATTCGCTATCGGGCCATTCGTTCATGTCCGTGCAAAACGAAACGTTTGCGTTTACATTCTTGAAGATATACGAAGATACTTAATGAAGATACTAATGAAGATACTTAATGAAGATATATCATTGAAATCACTCATTAGTTATTCTTAAGATAGTCTTCGCACTTATGTGTCTCCATCGAAGGTCTGTCAGACTAAAGAATCGCCGCGGATTTTTGCGGTTCATTCCGTGAACCACGTGAACTTCCGTTTTCGAACAGACAAGTCGCGCCCTGCGACACGTACCTAGCATTCGAGGCTTCCGACGAAGATCTCGGTGATCTAATCGATCGATAAAGTTTTTACGAATTCGTGTATCGAGCGCATCTCAGAGTGACGTTACGACATCACGATCAATTTGCTCGAAATTGCATGTCATTCTGTCGGTCGCGTGTATGTACTTCTCGAGGACAAACAATTGCGCCGAGCGATATAGCTAGTGCGCTGTTTTTTCTCAGTGTAATTATATCTCATAGGACGGTTAAAAATGCTGCATCCGTTAGAAAGAATTGAATCGATAATAACAAATTTTGAGAGTCAATTTCTGGAGATCGAATTTTTTATTCGCATTTAATCGAAGTTGACATCGAGTCGATATAAACGTCATTCTGTCTTTCTTCAATGAATTCAAGAATAAGATGATACTTGGATCGACTTGTTACTAAATGGAAGGCATCTATTATTATTTATACTGATACCTATTTTTCATTGTTTTTCAGGTATCTTCACGCAGGAATAGAATAAGTCATAAACATGAGTCTACAGTGGACACTCATTGCGGGTTTCCTCTATATCGAGGTCACGATTGTTCTTCTTTTGGTGTTGCCAGTGGCTTCGCCGACCAGATGGCAAAAGCTCTTCAAATCTCGCTTCTTACAAAGTATAAATAATCAGGCTTCCGTTTATTTCATAATTCTGTTGGGAGTCCTGGTGCTTTTTTTGCTGGATGCCATACGAGAGATGCGAAAATATTCAGGAAGTCTGAATCAAACAGATCATCATCATCATCATGAGTTGAATGTTGAAATGCAAGGTAAATTATTTAACAGTGAGAATCTTATATTTTTTTATATTGATTTTATAGTTTGATATTTAACATTTAATAATATTTTCAGAAAACATGCGATTATTCCGCGCACAGAGGAATTTCTATATATCTGGCTTTGCATTGTTTCTGAGTTTGGTGATACGCCGTCTTGTCATTTTAATATCTACCCAAGCTACCTTGCTTGCACAAAACGAAGCAGCCATGCGACAAGCTCAATCTGCAACAACTACAGCCAGGAGCTTATTGTCTCAGAGAACGATCGGAGAAAGTGCACAGAATGATTCTAATGAGGCACATGATAAAGCTGTTTCAGAACTAAAAAATCAGATCAAAGAGTTACAGGCTAAAAATCAAGAACTTGAGAGTAATTTGACTAAGGAAAGAAAAGATAAAGAGGCACTAAAATCACAAGCAGAGTCACTCACGAAGGAATATGATCGTTTAAATAAGGAACATGCGAAACTTACACAATCGGCTGGTGATAAGAAAACTGATTAAGCAGTTGAATTTTTCTTCCCCCTTTTTTTGTTTTATTGTAACCATCGTTTGCTCATAAATTATAATTTTGTTACCGAGTTGCATAATTTGTATTGCACAGTTTGAACAAGGACTCATTATTTCATTTAATAATTATTAAGACATATTTATAATTTGTTAAATTATATGCAGATATTACTGTTGTGTGAGAATGATGTAACGTGCCTCATAATACATTGCATATCTTTTTTTTCCTAATTTTGTGCACTTTCCATGTACAAAGTCTGTATCCGTCTGAATTTGTGATATATTGTTAATTTTATGAATAATTAATATAATTAAATTAAGAATTCTATAAATTTTTTTTGGAGCACAAATCATAGTAGATACATTGTCAACTGTTGTTTCATCACATGAGAATAATTGATTACTGCACGTTACGCATTCGGCAGGTATTATTAATGTATAAATAGGATATATGTTTTACATGCATTTTAGACAATATATCTCAAATGTACTTCCAGTCTCGCGTTTGCAATTTTTATTTTATATTTGCTAATATAAATTACACATGTATATTTTTGTGTGTATGCGCGTGCGCATATACATAGCACATGAGCACACACATTCTGTATGTGCTGTGCTATCGTGGGCCTTTATTTAGATCATGCACTCTGGGTTATACTGTATATATTTTGACATATAAATAGAACTATATGAGAATCTTAAAATAACTGTTCAGAGGTTTCACACTTTTCACACTTTCCTATAATTACAAATGGATATTTTAGTAAAAATTAAACTTTATACCTTATGCAGTATTATTACGTTACTGCAGTTTGCAAATATACTATTAAAATATCTATAAATGTTAGAAAAAAATTATATTTTTTAGCAATCTTCTTTTCTCACATTTATAACAATTATTTTATTATAAACTGCAATATATATACTTTTATTTTTTACATTCTTCAATTCGCACTACTATCCGTCAACATTTTGCTGTATAAGCATCTTAGGCATTAACTTATTTAATTTATTATTTATTGACTAAATGTGTGTAAAATACACCATGATCCATGAAATATATAAGTAGAATGCATTATGAACGCGTTTCAATCATGCGTGTATAATGCTTATTCCAGACACAATTTGAAAATTCTTCCACCAAGTCCGAACATTTAAGAGTTTCTTTGGGATGATCCTGCAAACACTTCAGGACTTTATTACTGTTCTCCACACATGGTTGTACTATATTCTGGACATCGACAACTTTTTGTCCTGTAACAATATATATTTATACAGTTAGAGTGTTACATCATATTTTAGTTCAATCTTGCATTCACAACATATTAGTATAATTTTTTGTTTAATATTATCGACATATTTTTAACATCAATAATTGCGTTCAACTAAAACTTATTTATGATATTACTTGATTCAGTTCAGATTTTTTACACACATACACACACACACACACCACACATATAAGGCAAGTTTTTTTAATTCATCGATTAATAAATCGCATTATGCGCATTATGCAATTGATCAATCAATAAATTAAAAACTCGTCTATACATACACACACACACACACACACACACACGCGCGCGCGCACCCATCACATACATATATTTTTTATTTTCTTCTTACATAGCTTACCTTTTAGTTTATTTTGTTTTTATGTATGTATTTTATGTATTTATAAATTGTATAAATCAGCTATATGTAAAAGAATCTATTCAGCAGAAATTTTTAACTAACAACGCAGTACAAAGCTGTTACTAAACTCTGATTTCTGTTGAATATAGTCAGTGAACCGTTTCAGAAGAGTAACTTAATTTGACTCGACATATGCCAATGATTACAGACTAAACTAAACTTAAATAATATCTAAACTAACCAGGCTTGGAAGTCTCATTAGCTGCCTTCTTATACTCTTCCTCCAGGATGTAATTGATTTTTTGATAACCATTCTCTAGATTTTGCAGACGCTTTTGCCAGTACTGCTCTTGCTGCTTTAGCTCCTCTTCCATCTGCTGCTGCATTCGAAGAGCGGATATTGTCAGTTCCGGATAGTGATACACCGGCGCTTGTCCGGGCGTCGCTTCGTCAATATGAGGCGTGACAGTCGTTGCAGGTATTGGTTGCCGGTTCGGTGTCGCAGGTCTCGTGTCTGACGGAGTCTCGCGGGCCTTTGATCTCTCTCCCTGGGCGAGACGCTGCACGACCGCGTTTGACACCTTGATCACACCGACCTCCTCTTCATTCGAGATCGTCAGCTTGCGGGCGCTTTGACCGGAACCCATTCTCGGGATCCGGAACTGGACGGCGAGCCGCAAAACAACTCGCAATTTTGCTCGATCTGCAACAAACGATTCGTCTTCGTCCTTTCTTCTTGCGGTGCCACGGCAATAGCGCGCGCGCATTCTTGCTTACCTGGCGAGGCCTATCGTTCTCGATCCGTTGACAGTAGTCCGTCTTTTTCCGCCTCATCAAAGCGAAGTTACATAAATATCTCAAGCCATATCTACCACCACTCTCCACGACGACAGAGCCGCGCAGCGTTCGCCACGCGATCTTGAACTTGGCAGCATTCCACTAGAGAAAAACTTGAGGCTGGATTTTCATGTAGACACCGGAGCTTTGATACAGAGCGCTAATTGATGAAAAATGAATAGTGAGAGTAAATAGTACTTATTATTAATTATATATAATTATATATAATTACATATATATAACATTATTTATATATATATATATATAATATAATATTATATTATATTATGTTATATATAATTTTCTTTATCAGGATTCACAGTTTCACAATCTATGCTTTACTGATAAGAATGCAAAATTTATTGATGCACAAAAAACACCTAAATAAATTGTTATCAAAACCAATAAATGTAGAAACATTGATAATTGTTGCGTAATTAATTTTGAAATAGTATTTCGGCAAAATATTAACAAATTGGCAAATCATCTTAGTGATATATTTGCGAAATTAAATTTGGAAAGAAATAATTGAGAAAAATATCTTAGCTATTATTATATTAAACATTTAAAAATACAATTGTGCACAAAGAAATTAAATTAATCCAAATTAATCTATGCTTATAAAAATGCATACAATTTTTCCTAAATTAAAATGTGGAAATACTGCAACACAAAATATTACACATTCAACATATGACAAAATTTTGATAAAAAAAGTCCGATAATAATGACATGCAGTTTGTAGGGCTGAAAAATTTACATACAAATATTTATTAGGCATCAAGATCCAGTCTCGATCATTTTTGGCACTTCTTTACTTAATCGTGTTATATAATTATTATATTTATTAATTTTATTATATAATTATATGTCTCTCGCAATACTATTATCAGATATAGATCGGTATTCAGTCAGTTCTTATATTTAAGATCATCTTAAGATAACATTTCAACCAATAGGATAGCTGTATGAGCTTATTTAAGACGAATATCGGCCATAACATAATTCTATTAATACTAACATAATTTGATTAATACTTACTCATATATTGAATTAAATCAAAGACAGATTTAAAAAATTATTGTAATGTGATCTACTGATATTTGATACAAATTTTATTTATTATAAATTTCAGGTAAAAACTTGACGTTTAAATTTATATTACATAAGGCCTGTTTTTTTTTTGGCTGAACTGATTGTACATACTAGTTCACAGTTTATCTTTCTTTCTTACACTGAAAGAAGAAAGATAAACTCTGAACTAGTGTAGCCAGTTTAGTTAAAAAGAAAGACCCATAATATATGCAAGTTCAGTAAAATTATAATCGTTCATTGCGTGAGGACAGTTATCCGCATCTTGAATTTAATCACGCGTTCCTATATTTATTTAAAAAAAAGAAGTGTTGTTCTCATTGTCCACGAGTGTACAACCAGTTCAGTCAAAAGAACAGGGGATCAATCATGTAAGTTTACACGAAATTTTTCACTTTTCATTCTTCACTTTTTATTTTTCATTTTTCACACCTTAACATTTCACGTGAAACTTTTCACGTACAGCAATTATGTATGTAGCTTGGATGCGTGGAAAGTGAAATCATGAAACATAGTTTCATAAGTTTTATAGCTAATGAAAATTATTTTATTGATATAGTATTATATACATCTTTTAATAATTAATTGTATATGTAGTATGTACACTTAATCCTAACCCTAATCTTCTCTAATTCCGAAGCATATTTATTAATTCTCTAGATTTCCGCCTTTCCGCCACCAAGATACATGGCAAAAAAGTTCACGTGAATTTCACATTTTCACGTTTAAGAGAGTTACATGATCCCGCAAAATCGTATATGATCATAAGTTCATGTGAAACTTTTCACTTTTCACATTTCCGTCCTAGGGGAAAAGTTATATGATTGACCCCCAGGCCTTCGGCCTGTATATAGTATATACAGTAGCGCAACTCTCTGTCGGCACCTTTGATGTCAGTGTTAGCCAAAATAGAATGCGCATGCGTGAAATAAGTTAACTCATATCGCTATCTGAACTTCCTTTTTGTTTTATTCTCTTTGTTGTTCTCTTTCTAACTCTTAATATAATAAAAATAATTTATATTTAAAAGATTAAAAAATATGATTTAGAAATATGCTAATAATAAAGCATTGAAAAATAAGGAATGAATATAAAAGTCAGGAAAGATATGAAATATAAAATATGTAAATGTAAATGTAATGGTATGTTAATGTAATGTAATGTAATTTAGAAATATAAATATTATACTATAAAAATATGATGTATGTGTGTGTGTGTGTGTGTGTGTGTGTGTGTGTGTGTGTGTGTGTGTGTTGTACTATAAAAGTTAACAAAAAGAAAAGAAAAGTAAGTCAAATGTAATTATTATGTATTAAATAATTAATGTGTTTACTAATAATTTAGTATTATAATAATAAATAATACAAAAATTTAATATAAAGATACTAAACGTAAAAATAGAAAGTAAATAATTTTATTTAACAAGTAAATAAAAGATATACTTTTCTAAATACAAATATAATTATATTTTTTTACTAATACAGTAGAAATATAGAAATATAATTTTATTTAAATTTTTTATATAAATATTATATAAAATAAAAAAATCATATTATATTTATAAATATTAATTATGCATTTAATGAAATTGATGTTGAATGTAACTTAAATATCAAAATATCAAGATATAAATATTACAATAAATATTACAAATAAATATTACAAATATCACAAATATTTAGACATTTAAATTTTGTTAGAAAGAGAAAGAATGAAGAAAGAAGAAGTGAGAAAGAAGATTAGATAAATTAGTGAACAACTTACTTATTTCGCGCATGCGCACTCCATTTTGACCAACATAAAATTGGGAGGGTTGCGCTACTGTATATATTGTATCTTCGGTAGACTACTTTGCCAACTTGAACTCGCAATTTTCAAATGCAACCAGCAGGTGTTGCTTGCACTGTATAACATTTTGATATTTAGGTTAATTTACTCGTATAATCAACGGAGGTTAGTATCTTGAGTTCTTTAGACCTTTTTTTTCGACCAAAATCAAACGTTGTAATTAAACTTAAACAGATATTTTGGTTAAAATTAAAATATTTGTCAGAAGAAAATTCAAATCATTTATCTAAGGTATAATTTGATAAGAAAGATACTTCTCTTGCCAAAATTGATTAATACTCGATAAGACACATGTCTATGAGAACAGCATAGAAAGTGATAAAAATTGTTTTTCAGTTATAACTACATAAAATGGAGTATATTGAAGTTCCCGACAATGCACAACAGAAAGGGATGATGTACGTATATATATAAAATAATTAAAATGTACACACCCCTATTTATCCCATTTACTTTAGATTCTCACAAATATAAATAATTTTTCTTTATTTTGATAGTCCCTGTTGTGAGTGCGGTATCCCTATTGAACCAAATCCTGCCAATATGTGCGCAGGATGTATGCGCACCCATGTTGACATTACCGAGAACATTCCCAAACAAGTGACCTTACAATTTTGCAGCGGTTGCGAAAGGTTTGATATTTTTTAAAAATATTCTAAACTTACCTAGTAATATTCTCTGTGCTAATTGAATTATCAATACTATGTTTATATAATAGGTACCTTCAGCCACCTTCTGAATGGGTTCAAGCCTCATTAGAATCGAAAGAGCTCTTGTCGCTATGCTTGAAAAAATTAAAAGGATTGAATCGTGTGAAATTGATAGACGCTGGTTTTATATGGACAGAGCCACATTCTAAGAGATTGAAGGTATTATATTTAGCATTTTTAAAATCAAATTCTATTCTTATTTTACTATTATCTAATATTTTTCTCAGGTGAAGTTAACTGTTCATGCAGAGGTGATTGGTGGAGCAGTCCTACAACAGATATTTGTAGTTGAATATATTGTGAATCATCAAATGTGTGATGATTGTCATCGTAGAGAAGCTAAAGATTATTGGCGTGCATGTGTAAGTTTCATAGTATTATAGAGAGAATCTAGAAAAAATTCAAATGCTATATACAATTATATATGTCTTTCATAAAATGCATTCTTTTTTATAGGTTCAAGTCCGGCAAAGAGCGATAAACAAAAAACTTTTTTTATTTAGAACAATTGATATTGAAACATAAAGCACATGAGAATACACTGGGTATAAAACCGATTCACGGCAAGTATCGTAAAAATTCTTTTGGCAATAATAATATATTGTAATGAATATGTAAAAGTATTTATCAATAGATACTTAAAATGTTTTAATGTTTACAGAAGGTCTAGATTTCTTTTTCGCGAATGAATCCATGGCTAGAAAATTGGTTGACTTCTTGTTGATGGTCATACCGTGTCGTTATCAATCTTCAAAGAAATTGATTTCATATGATTGTCATAGTAATATATATAATTACAAATATACATTCAGGTAAATTCAATGCAGCAAATATATATATTATATATAAATAATTATTTATTAAATATATTCATTTCATTTTTATATTGTTTATAGCGTTGAAATTGTTCCAATCTCTAAGAATAGTGTAGTCTGTCTACCACGGAAGTTGACACAACAATTAGGAGGCATTAACCCTATCTGTTTGGTATATCGAATCACAAACGCTGTACATCTTATAGATGTTTCATCAGGACAAAGTAAATCACAATATTTACATTAATTTTTATGTCAGAGATAATATGATGTTATGCAGTGATATGTTTTATTTAGTTGCGGAACTTAGTTCGTTTATCTACTGGAAATATAATTTCAATAGTATATGTAACCCGAAACAATTGATGGAATATATCGTGATGGATATTGAACCGATAAAACATGAAGACAGAAAAGTTTTTCCAGGACAAGGAGCTATCTCCAATAAGGTAAGTTTTTTTTTTATGAAATATTTTGATAACATATGAGTACTTATTATCACTTAAGTTTATCATATAACATTATTGAAAAAAGAAGAGATATTTATCTTCTCAACAATATATGAAAGTGTTAACATGTGATTCAAATGATTCAAGATGTCATTCAAGATAAAAAAGTGATAACTGATTTTTTTAGCACGTCATAGCAGATGTGTGGCTAGTGAAAGCATCCGAATTAGGGATAAATAATCCAATTCATACTCGTACACACTTAGGCCATATACTTAAACCGGGTGATTCTGTACTCGGGTAAGTTTATGTAATAATTATAAATAATAATAATATAACATAATATAAATAACAAATTTAAAATATTCGTTTATCACAGCTATAATTTGAAAGAAAGTAATATTAATGATACCAATTTTGAGAAATTAAGTGAAGATTCAATACTTGATATCATTCTGGTAAAGAAATTTTATGACCATAACAAGGCGGCTCGTCGTAAGGCACGCGTCTGGAAATTGAAACATATCACAAATAATGACGCAAGCAATGCCAGCACAGATAAGTACGTTACAAAACAATGCGAAATCTATAATATACTTTTCGTATTACGAATCTCATATTAATTGTATTTTATAGCGAATATAACGAATTCCTTGATGAATTGGAAGAAGATCCAGAAATGAGGCAAAACATCAATATATTTAGAGATTTTAAGAAACACATCCCTGTTGATACTAACGAAATAGATACGAGTATTCCGCAAATTACACTCGAAGAAATGTTGGACGATCTTGTAATCGAAGATTCTGAAATGACCGAAGATTGATAAAAGAGTATACTTTTTTAAAGGAAATGATCTTATAAATAATGATGAAATGATTGGAAAAATGTACACGTGCGGAACGATTTTTAAAAGTGTATTTTATTTGACATTCGTAAATATTTTATCGTTCATGAACAAAGATGAAATAATTCTAAAAGTATTACGAGCATCAAAATAGAACGCATCGTGTACAAATTATCGATCGATACAAATATAATTTTTTTTGTAATGTATATTTCTGAAATAATCGTTTAATTACATGATATTGTCCTGACGATATATTTTATGTACCATTAATTATCAATAAAAATGTTTAAAAGTAAAATAAGTTGACAATTTCCACTCCATTAATTATCAATAAAAATAAAATTTTAATTATAAGTTGACAATTTCTACTCCATTAATTATCAATAAAAATAAATTTTAATTATAATAAGTTGACAGTTTCTATTCCATTAATTATCAATTTAAAAATAAAATTCGAAAAATTATTCAAATTACAATCAATTGACAAGATTACTTATTATATTTAAATAAAGTTAACAATTCATCCATCATTCGATCGATGAACGTATAAGTGAAATGTTCTCACAAGAAGTACGAAACCGATAATCAACACGATAATCATAACATCCTTCTATTTATTTACTTTATATTGTATAGATAGTAGGTATAGTATAGTGTAGATAGTAGGTATAATATATGATTATACCCAATTCTTTTCCACCTCTTATATTGTAAACCATTTCAAAGCTCTTCGAGAGAAGTGATAAAAGTGGGGAATTATCTTAAAGATATAATAACACCGATATACTGTAACTGTGCAATAACTCTGGTGATACAACTGTGGTACAGTGATTCAATCAATATGTTCTGCAAATTATTATTTTTTGCATTTTTATTAAAAATTGCAAACAGCAATGTAACCAATTATGCAGGTATGATAATTTAGATTAATTTAAATTAAAAGATTAAATATAAATATATAAATATATATTTTTTATCAATAAATAATAACAGATTATTAATAACAGAGAATTTAGATAAAATACAGATATAATTAAATAAATTTTAATATTGATATATTCACATGTTCATATTATCAGTTTCTGTCTTTATTTATCGATCAATCATACAATTTTGATAGTCCTAAAGAATATGGATATAGTCATATTATATATTTATTTTATTAAGAGATTACATTAAAACAGGAAATCTTTAATCAATAATTAAGATTATGCAACCTTAATAATAAAATATATCTTGGATATAAATTTTACAATTTTATAGAATTGTAAAATAATTTTTTATATAAAAATAGAAAATATATATCAATACATCTCATATAATATTCCAAATTTATCGTGTTATTATGAAAGCCGGAAAATAACAGTGCTATCTTTTTTGAAGATAATATAACATTACATTTTACACATGAAATTAAGAATTGGGTACAAGTACAACAAAAATCTGAAGAATTTCAACATTTGATCCAAAGTTTAACTCTTCCAACTAATTTACAACGTGTTGACTGGCGTAGCTTTGATGATGAAAGAGGCACAATTATTTGCATAATATGCCGATCTATCTTAAATGTTTTTATGGAATATCGTAAGCACGGTATGTCAGGGGAAAACATTGGATATTTAGTAACTAAACTTTGTACACTACTGAATCTGCAAACTCCAGACGTCTGTAAAGGTGCAATAAATATCAATTTGGTAAGTAAATTATATATGTAAAGACAATATTAAGAAGTGGAAATCGTTACAATTGACTTTAATTATCGTTGCATATTTCGCTCGTAGCCAGTAATCTTGCATATCATAGATTCAAGACCGAATCTAACATCGTCCACAATTTGTGGAATTGTACTAGAATCACAATCTTGTCCGCTTAATAATGACGAGTTCAATTGGACAATCGACATTGACAGTAGTCCTCCGAAACTGATTGACCTGGAGGAGAGTGATGAAATTATAAATGTGATACAAATTACGGATATTCATTACGATCCCAACTACGAACCTTATGGTAATTCGCAGTGTAAGGAACCAACATGTTGTCGAAAAGGACAGAACGACACAAACACAAGTGACAAAGTGGCAGGGTATTGGGGAGATTATAATCATTGTGATAGTCCGTGGCATGCTGTTATTGATACTCTAGATCACATTCGAGCCGAGCATGAGGTACCAAAAGTCTGTTGTTATTATTATTTATTATGCTTCAACTATATATCATTGGAGTATTAATATTTCCTTTATTGGAGCAGAATATTTCCTACGTTTATTTCACTGGCGACATAATAGACCACGGCGTTTGGGAAACCACGATTGAAGGAAATGTGGAAAGCCTTAATAAAAGTTACATTCAAATTCGCGAAACATTCAAAAATATTCCTGTGTATCCAATTTTGGGTAATCACGAACCGCATCCGCTGAATCAGTGAGTTATCCAATGCATAATTATGTTCTGCTCTGTTAATATGTAATTACTTGCACATTTGAAGATTAATATACTTTCGCATAATTTTATTAGATTTGCACCTCAGACTATCACTAATGAAGAGATAAGCACGCAATGGCTGTATCGCATGATGGCTGATTTATGGATTAATTTCGGATGGTTACCAGAATCTACACGTTCTACCATTCTAAAGGGCGGATATTATACATTTTCGCCCAAGAAAGGATTTAGAATTATAGCTCTGAACAATAACGTGTGTTATTGTTATAATTGGTAAGTATAAAGTGTCAAATTAGTATTGAAACGGATGTAGACAATATATTTTATCTTAAAACTACAGCGTATTTTACTGATTGATCTGCAATATGTATTTATCTTGATGATATATCTTTCTAATGTTATCACTTTAGAACATCAGTCAATAAATAATATGAATTATCTTATGCATCACGATTTATTGCGATATTATTTTTTTCGAAATTACATAGATTCCAGATTTCTTATCCAGATTTCTTCCAGATTTTTTATCTTTTTAAAATTCTTATCATCATATGTTTTTTTTAAATGCGAAAATAAACAAGTATTTTATTTTATATGATTTTATGTAGAAATAATTTTTACAGGTGGATATGGTATCAACCGGCAGATCCTGATGGCCAGTTGCAATGGTTATCGAACACACTTTTACAGGCTGAAAAGGATGTCGAATTCGTTCACATATTAGGGCATATTCCACCTGGTCATCAGCATTGTCAAACTACGTGGAAAAGGGAATATATTAAAATTGTCAACCGATATGCCCACATTATTAGAGCGCAATTCAACGGTCATACGCATAAGGATGAATTAGAATTATTTTATAGTACTGATGATAGCAGCAAAATCAATAACGTCGCTTGGAACGGCGGTAGCATGACTGCTTATTCAAATTTAAATCCCAACTACAAGTTGTATTTTGTTGATAGCAAAAATTACGTGAGTATCATGTTATTCCGATACAATATAATGGAATATATTACAAATATTTCAATTAAAACTCTATTATAGGCAGTGAAAGATTTTGAGAATTGGACGTATAATTTAACTTTAGCAAATGAGGACGCTGATCAACGACCGTCATGGTACAAGTCGTATTCATTTAAAGAGGAATATAACGTTTCCAATATAACATACGATTCATTACATGTTTGGCTCTCTGAATTAGCAACCAATGAAAATCTATTAAGTCGTTATTACAGGTAATTTATAGAAATATATGATTAAATTATTGTTTGTCAAATATTCTCAACTAACAATAATTGTTTCAGAAACTATTTCAAACATGCTGAACCATCGCTGAGAAAAGAATGTGACACAAAGTGCATGAGGTCCTACATGTGCAGTATAATTGTAAGTCTAGGAGATCACAAAACTAAATGTCTTAATAGTCAGCATTGATATTTTGGAGATATCAATTTAACTTTTTAACGATAGTGAAGAAAAGTACTACTTATTGAGTAAATTTATGAAAAAACAAGAAAATTTATTATTACATTTTTTCAATTGCTTTTCACAATATATATTTACAAACAGATAACATCTAATTATCTGTTAATGTTTTATCTGTTTACATAATTATATATAATTATTTTTGATGTTTACATAAACTTTTTATATCTATTAACTTTAAAATAGGTTTTTTTAAGATTTCATGAGTTGATAAATTATCAAATAAATAAATCTGAAAAATAAACGAGAAAGAAATGATTTTTTACAATATACAGCAATAAGAATTGCAACAAATTATTTTGACATGTACCAATAATATAAAATGAATAAATTATATTTTGCTCGATAAAATAAACCTTACCTGTTTCCTAACATAATTCAAAAGTGTTTCAACATGTTCTGGATTGTTACATTCCAACCGAAAGAATCTCCTCCATAATGCTCCTGCCAATGTTTTGTCATCAGATTGTATGCCTTCATCGTAGTCTATTATAGCAGCATTGAATTGATGTGATATTTCCTGCATTTGTTCATTTTTAATTTTGGTCCTGATTGACTGTAATAATAAAGATTTTATTTGATAACTGATTTAAAATTGTAATATGAGCAAAATGCTTGTTAATAAAGAATAAATTAAATTATTTATATATGATGGAGTGTATTAAAAGTACAATGTTACCTACACCGAGCTGTTCTAGCCTGGCAGTCGTATCTTCCCACATTGCTTTCACTGCATTATTTCTGATAATTTTCCCATCATTCTCATCAGCCATGTAGCGAACCATTATCATCCATACATGAAGTTCCGTCACCAGAAACCAAGAGAAAAATGTATCTGGCATATTAAAATCTATAAAAGATTTTATTTAAGATATATATGAAAAATGATTATAATTGTTAAGATATAAAACTTATAGAACTTACATTTGAAGAAAAAAGGATAATCAATTTGACCCATTACATGTTCATACACTTGATAACCCAGGAACATTGTTCTCTGTAACCAATAAATCAGTAGCTTTATAGACGCTTCATACAAAAGCAAAAAGCACTTTCATAGATTACTCAATAAGACATTCAAGTTTTATAGATGCTTTAACTCCTAACTTTTAATAATAATAAAACTTTCAATTACATATTTCTGAACATCGAAAAAACGAGATTTCCTCAGCATTCTTTCCACGAATCCCATATTCGGCCGTACACTCTCAACCGTGGACGTGCGGCATTCGGCTGTTGTGTGAATTCTCTTGGGTTCCAACGATAGCATTCTAACAGTACTGAGCTTTCCATGATTTTGTATTGTTTTCTGAGTTTTAAAGAACAACGTCGCATTCTGAAACACATATTCGTTAGCAAAATTGCATGTGAATATTTTCATGAGAAACACCCCAACTTGATAAGAGCGTGTCATTTTGAAAATAACATTCTGAGATAATCGTGGAAGGTTATGTCGACAATCAATTTAACGAATGTACCTTCGTCGAGGGAAATATCCGGGTGTACCGTGCGACCAACATTCTGTCTATAAATAAATCCTACACTGCGTGTCCCCCGACACGAGGAGGCGAACGACAAGGACAATCGTGCACGCACGGCATGAACATACCTAAAGTGCTGCCCCATCAAAAGTTCTGCCGAACGGTAAACAAGGGAACTTCTGCGGAAAATGGAGGTCATAGCCAGGGAAATTCACTCAATGGAATTTAAGCTGGATTTCTTGGATTAACCGTAGATAGAGCCGCACGCGATCACGCAGAAACGTTAGGTCAGTTCATATCCTTCCGAAATCAGCTAGTGTTCATGAGATGAATGTCGATCCTGCTGAGTAAAATGAAGGAGAGACTGCAGACTCTCCCGGCTTTACCACAGCACCGTGCTGCACGAATATTTTAGTTTTTGACGATTTCTTCTCCTGACCTGGTGTGCACGTTGATCAGGTAGCTTGGAAGAAATCCTGTCATTCCCGTGACGTGTTTATCCGAAAATCATCATAGGTATAATTTATACCTACGTATTTTTCGTCTATGCCGAGTCCAAGTCCACGTTTTGTTTTTTATATGAATAAAACCCATCATCATATAGTTGGGAAATTCTCCTGCGTTTCCTTGAAAATTCTATTTTTTATCTTTTCTCGCATGGTGTTGCAAATCTTTTAAATTGTAATGAAATTTTGCAGACGATTGAAAAATACCGTTACATGGAGAAAAAAATGAATTCTCAAAAAGTGAAGACAAAGGGTAAGAACAAGAAAAAATTTCTTGTAAAAAAGGTGATCCGTCCAGACCCGTCCAATTTGCGTAAACCAATTGATACGAGTGTGTCCGACTTGTACCAAGTCAGTGGACTCCTTGAAAAAGGCACTGATGAGGTTAAATCTGTATTATCATATGAATGCAACATTATATATGAATGTCGCACTTGCTGCAGCTTATATAGAAGCATTGTAAACTTTATTTCTCACAAGAGGGAATATTGCAAGGAAAAGTTTGATATTACACGGTCACTTTGTAAACGTGGATTATGGAATAACAATAACTTTGTAAGTGGAATACAATTTATTTGTGTTGCCATTGTTGCTATTTGCCATATTTAAAATATTAATATTTTTTTCTAGCACTCCTCTAAAGACTCAATAATACACATATACAAAACAGAGGAGACAGGTGACGAGAATGTTAAAAATGATAGGATACTCAGGAGTCAAGTGCCTAAGGAAACGAATAAAAAGGATCTCAGTGCAATAATAGATAAGATTAAAAAAAGATGGTATGGAGAAAGTAGAATGGAAAATCTATTGAAAGATCAAAATACAATTTCTAGTACTTCAAATAATCAACATATTCATTTGGAATCTATAAATACAAATCACTCTGCAGTATATCAAACTGTTAAATCGTTAGATGAAGCAGATACTATGAATTTAATGAAAGAACAGGCAAATATCAACTTATTCATAAGATTAATATTTTATTTACTGTATATGTATTACTGTATTGTACTTACTATATGTTTACTTGCTATGCTATATATATATTTAAAATTGTTATTTTTATATTTTATGTTATGTATTTTATATTATATTTAATCTGATAATTGTAACATGATTCCTCTTTGGCTTTTAGATAGAAGAATTGCATAATATCACGGATCAGAGTGCCGTCATGTTAACATTAGATGAACAAATGTCTGAGAGCCAATTTGAAAAGAGTGACAGTCCTATCATGGATATGAGCGACGAAGAGAACGAATTATTAATACATAGATTAGCCGCAAATAATTTGTCTTGTACTATATGTAAGTAAAAATCATTCTTATTTCTTCACAACTAACATTGATAGATATAAAAGGTTTTCATTTCGTTATACAGGTAAAGCAAAATTTTCAACAAAAAAGACACTAGCTGTTCACATGAAAACGCTGCATACGGCCCAACGCGTATGCTATCTTTGTCCTGACTGCAAAAATCCATTTGCAAATCCATGGAGCGTTTATCGGCATTTAAATAAAAGTATCATTATATTGAAAATTAATCAATTACTGTTTGCTATCTTAATATTTTTAATATTATTTCTAAATACAGCGTAACATATTTTTAATATTATTTCTAAATATAGCGTAACATATTTCTGAAAACAGTTTTGAATAATCTATAATTTTTCTAACAGTTCATAAAAAGACCAATGAACAAATACGTAAATTAAGACCGCAAGTACAAGAGAAAGCGTTTCATAAAGAGACAACTGCGATGAAAGAAAATGTTCGCGCAACTAAAATAGCTGTCTTGGAAAACGTGATCAAAAATTATGATAAAACTCAGGTAAATTTCGATTCTTTATCAGTTTTTTATTATAACATTTACTGTATATTTTAAACTGATAATTTTTTTTAAGGAATCAAGTACAGAATCTAATACAATGCATCAAAATCGCGGTAGACGTGGGAGAAAAAGAAAAGCGCCTTTGCCTACTTGTTCGGCATTATCAAACTCATATTATCAAAGACCAATCGCTGCATGCGACGAAACGACAATAAGAATCAAACGATTTAATAATTTACCTAATAAATTATTATCCTCAACATCTGATAATACATCAAATGAAGTTGAAGATGTCAATTTAGTAACTGATATAGAATTGCTTGATAACAAAAATATATCAGATAAAAACTCCGAGCATATATCATCATCCCCTGAGATTTGTGATTATCAAACATTCATCCCTGAACAAGAACTTAGCTTTAATAATGAAGAATGGACTTTGCTAAAAAATCAGTTTAATTATGTTTCGAAAAGCAATTCAATGGATAACAATAATGATCCTGATATTACATCATCAGCACAAAACATTGATAACAATGGATCATTATCTCTTAGTGGAGACAGTGATAATTCTGTTTATAAAAAAATTTCAGAATCTCCTGATATTACACATACAGATACAAATGAAGCTAGTTTTGTTGCTTTAAAGATAAAAAATAATATAGAGGAAGAATTAAGCTATCACAATGAGAAACAATCGATTGATTTGAAAGGTGAGTTATCTGATGTGTAAATGAACAAATTTTGCTTATACAGAAAATACTATTTAAATAAATAAATAAATACGCGAATAAACTGTTATAATAATTTTGTGTATTTCAGAGAAAGATATTGAAGCAGAAAAGGATAATTTCGAATCTTCTTCCGAGGAATTTTTATGTTCGATACAGTCGAACGAAAGGAGTGGTACTTCATTAATGGAGAATAAAATAGCTTCCATTGCGAACTACCGAAAGTTACGGTGCCTTTTGTGTAAACGAAAATTTACATCTGTGCCCAATCTACGAAGGCACATAGCAATGCACATCGGTTGGAATCGATATCGTTGCAAATTATGTGATTATAAGTGCTTCGTAAGATGTGATTGCGTCACGCATTGTAGTAAAGTGCATAATATGCAAAATCGGACGCTTATAGCGGGAATGATAATCGAGATCCCACAGGATGAATATACATGTAATGACGATATTATTATGGATGCAAATACGAGAAAAAAACGGATAGTCCCGATGTAACTCCATCGCTAGAAACATATGAAGACTCGAACAGTTCTGTATTCGAGTACTCAAGTAGCTCGAGTACACATGTTACTTTGCAAGATAAAGACACTGCCACGAGCGTGCAAGTTGCGGAATCACACGGAAGTGCCAAAGATCAGAGTGTTGACGCAGGAGGTAATGATGAATCTATAAAGACTCAAAATTTGTTGGAATGTATGATGAATAACGGGTCAGATAAATTGGATACCAATCCTGAACTTAAGCGAATAGTAATGGAAGTGATATTTGGTTCCGATACAAGCGCAACTAAACAGACAAATACTGATACTAAGAATAGTGTAAGTGAAAGTACAGATGGAACCGATAACATAAATAATACTATGTCAGTTAATGAATTCAAAGAAACATCTTGTTCGATATTGAACAATGTAAAATATCAGCGTCCCACGCGTAACCGAATAAAGCCCATAAGTAAGGATTTTATATATATGACTTGAAGGAAGTGACATATCGAAAGGAAAGTGCCCTTCACAATGATTCCGAAACGTTACATTCACGAAAAAAATCAGACTATATAATTGATAACCTTGGATTGTTAACATACAGTTAATAATTAATAATATTAATGTAATGTATGTATAATAATTGTAATTATTATTTAGTAATACATTTTTTATAATTTTCTAAAATGTATGCATATAAATAAATATATTACAATTAATATGATATTGTATATTATGTAGTATATATTATGTATTGTTATGTATTATATTGTATATAAATAATATTGTATATTACTGCAATATATTTTATTATATACATACAATATTACATTGTACTATATATAATATAATATTATAATATATTTTATATATATATCAGGGTTAGGAAAGTTACTTTGTAAAAGTAATTAGTTATAATTCTTTCCTTTCAATAAATAACTAATTACCATTACAAGTTACCGATTTAAAAAAATAACATGTTATAGTTATAATTATTCCAAAAGTAACGAGTCGTTACTTTTTAGTTATTTCTCTGTTTACTTCCTGTAATGTTTTGTGCATTGCTATTTTAAATAAAAAAATCTTATATTTCTAATATATTTCTTGTAATATATTTCTAAGAACT